GGGGGGGCTGGGTGTGGTGGCTCAACTTTGGGAGGCCGAGGCAAGAGGACTGCCTGAGCCCAAGGGTTTGAGACCAACCTGGTCAACTTGTTGAGACCTCGTCTCTACAATAAATAAAAAAATTATTCAGGCATGGTAGCGTGTGCCTGTAGTTCCAGCTGCTTGGAAAGGCTAAGGTGGAAGGATCACCTAAGCCCAGCCGGTCAGTGCTGGGGTGGCTGTGAGTGTGCCACTGCACTCTAGCCTGGGTGACAAAGTAAGACTTCAACTAAAAAAAAAAAAAAAAAAAAAAGACATGGAAATTTTTTCAACACCCTTAGAAATATCTGCATGTTTTCCAGATATTTGCAACTAAAAATAAAGCCTCAACCAGGGTCGGTGGCTCAGCCTGTAATCCTGCGCTTTGGGAGGCTGAGGTGAGTGGATTGCCTGAGCCCGCAGGTTCGAGACCCGCCTGGGCAACTTGGCGAGACCTCATCTCTACAATAAATCAAAAATCAGCCAGGTATGGTAGCGCGCGCCTGTAGTTCCAGTTACTTGGAAGGCAGAGTCGGAAGGACTGCCGGAGCCCAGCAGGTCAAGGCTGCGATGGCCGGGAGCGACCACTGGATTCCAGTCTGGGATACAGAGTGAGACTCCATCTCAAAAAAAAAAAAAAAAAAAAAAACTTCAGGAAAAACAACTCAGATCTCTTCCAGGGCTTGTTGGTTGCTGCTTATGAATCCTGAGAATGCTTTACGAACCGCAATACGCTCGGACCTGTCATTTGCTGTTACTGGTTGCTTTCCTTCCTGGGTCCCGAGTCAGCCAAAAACCAAATGAAACGAACAAGGAAACCTCAAGGGTCTGGGTGCAGTAGCTCACACCTGTAATCCCAGCACTTTGGGAGGCTGAGCCAGGAGAATCACTTGAGGCCAGGAGTTTGAGGCCAGCCTGGGCAACATAGCGAGGCTACGTCTCTGCAAAAAAATATAAAAAATTATCTGGGTGTGGTGGTGCAAGCCTATAGGTCCCAGCTACATGGAAGGCTGAGGTGGGAGGACTGTTAGAGCCCAGGAGATCGAGGCTACAGTGAGCCACTCACTCCAGCCTGGAGGACAGAGTGAGACCCCGACTCAAAAGAACAAAAAAGACTTTAAGGGCACAGCTTTCATGGGCATGTCTAGCTGGCCAACAGTGAACAGACCTTGCGTGATCTTTGTGCTTACCCAATAGCTCGTGGCATCAAACCCCTGAGACATTTCTCAGCCCTTTTGTGCATTTTCCTTTGCAAAATGTTGAGATTAAAACACACCGGGAATTAAAATCCCAGGTCTTCTAGAAATAAGGACTTCTTTGTTTAGAAACATGACGCATGGGGGATTGGCGGGGGTCGCTGGGATCTGGGGGTGGAATCTCACCCCCAGCCCAACTGTCCACATTCAGGAGCGACACCAAGACGCCAACACCCACCAAAAATAACACAACATAAGCTCACAGCTTTGGAACACGAAATGACGCGTGCAGACCTACCTCACTCCCGACCCCTCCACCAGACACAAGCACCGCCCGCCTCTAAACTCCGAAATGCCAGATTCGCACGTCCTTCCCCTCCATGTAAAGTTTTAATATACTTGACTCAATCTGCCTTTATTAGAAAACCTTACAAAAGATGTATTTAAATGCTTGAAAAAATTAATTTTATGCTCTATGCACAGATAAGTTTCTCTTACTGTACAACTAAATAGGGTTCTATCCTTTGTTTAAAAAATATTTCTTTTTTTCCCACTAATGACACCTGGCAAGGAGTCCTACGGAAATGACGCGCCATCCTCCTGGGAGGTGTCAGAGGGGCCAGGACGGTGGAAAGAGCCTCAGACGCGCCACTCTCCTGCTGGGTCCCATTTATTGCCTGGGGCTCGGCGGTTTCCAGGTGCCGCCTCCGACGGCCTCACTTGTCCTTGGCGCGGTCCAGGGTTTCCAGCACCCTGGAGAGGCGGATGTTGAGCACCCGTACCTGGTTCTCCAGCTGTTCCAGCTTCCCCTCCAGGCCGGGGCCGCCAGGGCCGGCGGCACCAGCGCAGCTGTGGAAGCCCATGGGCCCGGTCATGAAGTAGACGGCCACCACAAAGCACAGCGGCAGCACGGTGTTCTCGGGCTCGCCCTCGTACTTGTGCAGGATGTACATGCACGACATCGAAAACAGGACCACCCGCACGACCCAGAAGCAGCGGCCGAACACCACGTGCAGCACGTTGAAGACGAAGCCCAAGGTCAGGGACAGGAGCCAGTAGGCCAGGAGGACGATGACCACCAGCAGCAGGGCGCGGGCCGGGCTGTTGGCCACCGAGGCCGGGCTGAAGTACTGCGACAGGTTGGACACTGCGGGGCGGAAGAGAGGAACCGGGCGGGTTACACGGGGGCTTCCCCAACGGGCTCGGAAGGCCTCTCCGACGACCGAGGAACCCAGACGAGCCTCCGCCTTCCTTCCCATGGACGTCAAGCCCAGTGAGAAGACTGGGGTGACCCTGGAAGCCTGCCCCCACCGTGAGTGTACCTGGGGGCAGAGCCTGTACACGCTATCCTGTCATTTCCACAGTCATTTCCAATAAATGCCTAGTTTCTTTCTTTTTTTTTTTGAGTTGGAGTCTCACTCTGTCACCCAGACTGGAGTGCAGTGGCCGCTCCCGGCCACCGCAGCCTCGACCTGCTGGGCTCCGGCGATCCCTCCGCCTCAGCCTTCCGAGTAGCTGGAACTACAGGCGCGCGCTACCACGTCCGGCTAGTTTTTGATTTATTGGGGAGATGAGGTCTCACCAAGTTGCCCAGGCGGGTCTCGAACCCGCGGGCTCAGGCAATCCACTCACCTCAGCCTCCCAAAGCGCGGGATTACAGGCTGAGCCACCGAGCCCAGCTAAATGCCTAGTTTCAAGTTGCACACATAGCTGCCTAGGAGAAAGGCATTTCCCAGCTGCCCTTGCAGCTACAGGACTAAGTTTTGGCTAAAGAGACAAAAGCAGAAGTGTTGTACAGTAACTTCAAGGCATTGTCCCTAAAAGTAGCAGGAATGTGCCTTTTACCTCTTCTGCCTGCTGGAATGTAGATGCAATGACTGCAGCTGGGGCAGTCATTTTGGGCCATGAGGGCAGGCCCGTCATTTATAAGGGAGCAATAAAATGCTTTGGTCCAGAATGTGACATGCATCAGAGTCATCATACTCGCCTAACCACCTCCCTGTGAATTTTCATATAAGAAGGTTTATGCCACTGTTATCTTGGATCTGTTACAACCACACCTAATCCCAACCGGTCCACACACACGGAGTTCCAGACTAAGAATGGAGTGAGATGGAGGGGGAGCATCTTCTGTGTGCCCAACTGAAGGCCATGTCAGGTGGAAAAGTCAAAAGAACAGTCAAATAAGCATTCCTAGCCAAACCACCTGGGCTTACCCATGATTAAATGTGCCACATTTTGCTTTACCTATTTATATATTTTTCTGGTTGACCCATTTCAAAGTTAGATACACCATATTTCATCATGCATCTTTTAAGAATAAATACAAGCCGGGCTCGGTGGCTCAGCCTGTAATCCCACGCTTTTGGAGGTTGAGGTGAGTGGATTGCCTGAGCCCACGGGTTCAAGACCCACCTGGACAACTTGGCGAGACCTCATCTCTACAATAAGTCAAAAATTAGCCCAGCGCGGTAGCACACACCTGTAGTGCCAGCTACTTGGAAGGCTGAGATGGAAGGATCGCCGGAGCCCAGCAGGTTGAGGATGTGGTGGCCGGGAGCGGCCACTGCACTCCAGTCTGGGCGACAGAGTGGGACACCAACTCAAAAAAGAAAAAAGGAATAAATACATCATTTGCCTCAAAATCGTGACACCACCAATCACACCTAAGAATATTCACAATTTCAATTTCCTGCCAGGCACAGTGGCTCACACCTGTAATCCCAGCACTTCGGGAGGCAGAGATGAGAGAATTGCCTGAGCCCAGGGGTTCAAGACCAGCCTAGGCAACTTGGCGAGACCTCATCTCTACAGTAAATCAAAAAATTAGCTGGGTGTGGTGGCTCACGCCTGTAGTTCCAGCTACTTGAAGGCTGAGGCAGAAGGATCACCTGGGCCCAGCAGGCTGAGGCTGCAGTGGCCATGAGCATGCCACTGCACTCTAGCCTGGGCAACAGAATGAGACTCCAACTCAAAAAAAAAAAAAAAATTCACAATTCTCTAATACCACTGGAACTTCCCAGTTATCCAGGAATATATTTGTAGCTATTTCCACCCGACCCTGACCGGGACCCAGTGACGGTTCATGCATTTACTATGGACGCTAGTCTCCTTTAAATGAGAAGATTCCCACGACACTGACATTTTATTTTGCTTTTAAAAATAAAGACAGGGTCTCACTATGTTGGCCAGGCTGGTCTCAAACTCCTGGGTCTAATTGATCCTCCCACCTTGGCCTCCCAAAGTCCTGGGATTAGAGGCGTAAGCCATTGTGCCCAGCCAACACTGACATTCTGAAGTCTAGTTTCTCCAGATCGGTCTTCTTGCAGAAGGTGCCACATTCTGGAATTGTTTCCTGATAGTGTTGGTTAACAAGTTCAAGGAGAGTTATACCCTAAGCACATTTAATTTACACAAACTTTAAAAATATTTTTAAGCCGGGCTCGGTGGCTCAGCCTATAATCCCACACCTTTGAGAGGCTGAGGTGAGTGAATTGCCTGAGCCCGTGGGTTCGAGACCTGCCTGGGCAGCGAGACCTCATCTCTACAATAAATCAAAAAATTAGCCGGGCATGGTAGCACACGCCTGTAGTTCCAGCTACTGGAAGGCTGAGGCAGAAGGATCGCTGGAACCCAGCGGGTCGAGGCTGCGGTGGCCGGGAGCGACTACTGTACTCCAGTCTGGGCGACAGAGTGAGACTCCAACTCAAAACAAAACAAAAACAAAGTGAGACCCAAATTTTATCTGTGTGATGACGTAACCCTGAATTGTACCCCACATCTTTAAATTAAAAATTAAAAATAAATAAATAAATGTAATTTGTTTAAAAATATATATATATTTTTAAATTTTTTTGTCAATACAGGGGTCTTGCTATGTTGCTCAAGCTGGTCTCAAACTCCTGGTCTGAAGTGATCCTCCTACCTCAGTCCCCCAAAGTGCTAGGATTCAGGGCATGAGCCACCACACTCAGCCCTTGTTGTTAATAATTTTTATTTATTTATTATTATTATTTTTTAAATTTATTTTGTTTGAGTCGGAGTCTCAATCTGTCGCCCAGGCTGGAGTGCAGCGGCACGCTCACAGCCACCGCAGCCGCGACCTGCTGGGCTCAGGCGATCCTTCCGCCTCAGCCTTCCAAGTAGTTGGAACTATAGGCACGCACCACCATGCCCAGCTAATTTTTTGATTTATTGTAGAGATGAGATCTCGCCAATTTGCCCAGGCTGGTCTTGAACCCCTGGGCTCAGGCAATCCTCTTGCCTCGGCCTCCCAAAATGCTGGGATAACAGGCTTGCGTCCAGTCCTTGTTAATGATTTTTCTAACATTGGTATCATTAATTCATTCCCAGATAACAATGAGCCCATTATTGGTGCAAGAGTTTGAAAGTCTGCGTCCCCTCGAAATTCATATGTTGAATTCTTAGCCCAAAGTTATAGCCTTAGGAGGTGGGGCCTTTGGGAGGTGATAGGTCAGGAGGCTGAAGCCCTCGTGCATGGAGCTCCCAGAAAGCTGCCGTGTCCCTCCCACAGACGCTGAATCTGCCAATGCCTTGACCTTGGACTTCACCCTCCAGAAGTGTGAGGCATGAATGTCTGTTGCTTATAAGCAGCCCAGGCTGTGGATTTGGTGCCAGCAGCCTGAATTGACTACCGCAATAGGTTAACACAAATAACATATGCTTTCACAGAAAAATAACTGTTTTCCAAAACCACACAAAAGAAACCACAGTGGGAACAGTGGCCTGTTTTGCATTTTTGCAGGCCTCTTTCCTAGCCAGCTTGTTAGAAGAGCCCCAGACCCTTAAATCTGTCTTTGATTTCAGAGGAGCAGCTTGTCAGTCACAGACGTGAGCCACGTATATCACCAAAAATGTTCAAGTACCCACACTGCAAAGGCAAAAAGAAACAGGTGGGATTAATAGTAATAAGACCTAGCTGGGCTCAGGGGCTCAGCCTGTAATCCTGCGCCTTTGGGAGGCGGAGGTGAGTTGATTGCCTGAGCCCGCATGTTCGAGACCCGCCTGGGCAACTTGGCGAGACCTCATCTCTACAATAAATCAAAAATCAGCCAGGCATGGTAGTGCGTGCCTATAGTTCCAGCTACTTGGAAGGCTGAGGCAGAAGGATCGCCGGAGCCCAGCAGGTCAAGTTTGCGGTGGCTGGGAGGGGCCGCTGCACTCCAGTCTGGGTGACAAAGTGAGACTCCAACTTAAAAAATAAAAATAGTAATAAGACATTTAATCTAACCCCATATATTCAAAATATCCTCATGTAGGCTGGACACAATGGCTCACATCTGTAATCCCAACACTTTGGGAGGCCAAGGCGGGAGGACTGCCTGAACCCAGGAGTTTGAGACCAACCTGGGCAACAAAGCCAGACTCCCCTCTCTATGAATAAATAAATAAGTAAAATACAAATTACATTTAAAAATAAATAAGTAGGCCTGGCACGGTGGCTCAGCCTGTAATCCCAGCACTTTGGAAGGCTGAGGCAAGAGGATTGCCTAAGCCCGTGGGTTCGAGACCAGCCTGGGCAACTTGGCGAGACCTCACCTCTGCAATAAATCACAAAAACCAGCCAGATGTGGTAGCATGCGTCTGTAGTTCCAACTACTTGGAAGGCTGAGGCAGAAGGATTGCCTGAGACCAGCAGGTGGAGGCTGCAGTGGCCATGAGTGTGCCACTGCACTCCAGCCTGGGTGACAAGAGTGAGACTCCAACTCAATCAATCAATCCATAAGAAATATTAAGTAGATTAGTCGGGCATGGTGGAATGCACCTGTAGTCCCAGCTACTCGGGAGACTGAGGAGGAAGGATTGCCTGAGCCCATGAGATTGAGACTGCAGTGGCTGTGAGCGTGCTCCTGCCCTCCAGCCTGGGCGGCAGAGTGAAACTCTGACTCAAAACAACTAAAGAAACCCAATTCTAACGGGATATCCGACTTTAGCACGTGGCTTCCCACAAAGCACTTTGCACACTCAAAGCATAAGACACGAATCCCAAGAGCCTTCAAAGCGTCCATGCTCACACACCAAGTCACATGGGCAAGGCACACCCTGGAGCAAGCCCAGTCCCCGAAGGTGCCACGCAACCACCCCGAGTGCAGCACTCAGCCCGGGGAGCCACCAGATCTCTCTGTTCTGGGCTGCTCCCACTGTGCAGGTTTTCACTCCATTCTCTGCAATCAGGTTTGTTCCTCCGGGGGTCAATGGTCATGGATGGGTGGTCGCAGATGGAAACACCCAGAGTTAAGACAGCAGGCAGGCAGCAGGTGCAGTGCGGATTGCACAAGATTGCTGCATGTGGGTCAGGTGCTGACTCAGCCACATCCCAGGAGGGGCTGGGAGGGGCCTCAGGGGGCTGCCTCCCAAATGGCCATGTTGCTGCTTCCGATTCCCTGCCTGCACCAGGAGGTGCCCGGAGTGGATCTGAGGACATGAAGGTTGAACTCCACGAGCCAAGGCTGGTGGAGACAGTTCCGAGTGGCTCAGGGTGACCACCACAGACAGGAATCCGCATGCCCCACTGTGACCAAGCAGCTCGACCCCAAGCCCCCGTCACCAATCTGTAACCTGGGAGGGCCACGGGGTGATGGGCCTTCAGGGGTTCCACATGGACCAGGGCTCCTGCAGTTTCCTATGGCTGCCAGAACTACCACAGACTGGCCAGGCACGGGGGCTCATGCCTGTAATCCCAGCACTTTGGGAGGCCGGGGCAGAAGGATCATTTCAGCCCAGGAGTTCAAGGATAGCCTGGGCAACATAGTGAGACCCTGTCTCTAAAAAAAAAAAATGTTTTTAATTAGCCAAGCATGGTGTGCGTGTCTGTGGTCTCAGCTACCTGGGGGGTTGAAATAGTAGGATGGCTTGTGCCCAGGAGGTCGAGGCTGCAGTGAGTGAGCTATGATATCACCACTGCACTCCAGTCTGGGCAACAGAGCAAGACCCCATGTCTAAGAAAAAATAAAAAATTTAGCCGGGCATGTGGTGGGTGTCTGTAGTCCCAGCTACTTGAGAGGCTGAGGTGGGAGGATCACTTGAGCCCAGGAAGTTGAGGCTGCAGTGAGCTATGACTGTGCTGCTGCACTCCTGCCTAGGTGACAGAGCAAGATCCTGTCTCTTAAAAAAAAAATTAAGCCGGGCTTGGTGGCTCAGCCTGTAATCCCGCATCTTTGGGAGGCTGAGGTGAGTGGATAGCCTGAGCCCGCGGGTTCGAGACCCGCCATCTCTACAATAAATCAAAAACTTAGCCGGGTATGGTAGCATGCGCCTGTAGTTCCAGCAACTTGGAAGGCTGAGGCGGAAGGATAGCCGGACCCCAGCGGCTTGAGGCTGCAGTGTCCAGGAGCAGCCGCTGCACTCCAGTCTGGGCGACAGAGTGAGACTCCGACTCAAAAAGGAAAAAAAAAAAATTAGCTGGGCATGATGGCTCACATCTGTTATCCCAGCACTTGGGTGACCAAGACGAGAAGATTGACTGAGCCCAGGGGTTCGAGACCAGCCTGGGCAACTTGGCAAGACCTCGTCTCTACAATAAAACAAAAAATTAGCCGGGTGTGGTGGCACATGCCTGTAGTTCCAGTTGGAAAGCTGAGGCAGAAGGATCACCTGAGGCCAGCTGGTCTAGGCTACGGTGGCCATGAGTGTGCCATTGCCCTCCAGCCTATGAGACAAAGTGAGAATGTGACTCAAAAAAATCAAAAATCAAAAATCACAGCTGTGAGCATGGTTCTATGTTGAGTCCGGAGAATCCTCCTAGTGAATCAGCAAGCCTGGAGGTGGCCGTGGTGGTGGCCACAGACTTCCTGCAAGCAGGGCAGCAGTCAGGGCCAGGTTGGGAGAGCTGGAAAGAGTGCCCAAGTTGGGATTTCCTCCAGACAGGCCCAGGGGGAAGGGCAGTGGGTGGAGACTTCAGGAGGCTTCCACTTTCCCAGTGCCTGAGGGCGTGTCAGGGAAACCCCGAAGGTGGTTTCTGAAGACCTCAAGGCAGTAAGGGACAAGATCTCCTGGGGCATAAGAGAGCTGGCATACCATGGGCACTCTGCCCAGGTTAACTTGCATCAGCCCAAGATGTGACACGTGACACGGAGTACCCTGCTCAGTCTCTGCACTGCCTCCCACCTGAGAAGACTGTGAATGCGCCCCAGACTTGTGGGCTGGGCAAACTGTGCCCCAACAGCACTTTCTTCCTGCCTGTCCACGTGCAACTGAATGGGTTATCCAACTGTGCTGCTTCTCTCCAGCTAGCAAAACACGAGTGGTTCTCCCTGGACTCTGGCCCCAGATGGTAGACAGTCGTCCCAGATGGTGGACTCTCACCCAAGGCAGCAGATATTTAGGCCAGTTGGCTGCATCTGGTAGCACCCCTTACAGCACGTTTCCAGGACATCAGAAGCTGGAGAGCTAAGAACACGTTACCTAGACTCCCTTGCAGCTAGGGGCAGGACAGAAATCGGGATCCCCCGACCCAGGACTTTGAAGGTGTGCAGTTAGTCATTTTCTGCTACACTGACATGCGGCTGTCCCTGCAGTCTGTGCAAAGTTAACTTCCAGCAGTGACTTCTGGTCCTCAACTCACAGGGCAGTTAGTTATGTGACCCTGACCTCTCGACTTCCCACAGCAGCAACCCCGGCGGGCGGGTTCGGCCATGTCTGGGTTGATTCTGATGATTCTGTGAGCGCCTCATTCCCAATGGATGCCCTTCAGCCTAAGTAACTAGGGCCATTTCTTTCACAGATCCCAATATGCCCAGCACGGTATCTCTGGTCCACGTAGTTTGCCCAGGGGCAGACAGGTTGGCACTACCCACTTGCACCTTATCCTAAATAGCATCTGGGAAATGCCCACTTCGATGGGCAACTTATACAGGGGTGCCAAAAACATGCAGACACATTTTAAATAAGACATTCGTTCAACAGATGGTGCTAATCAAAGGAATGCTAGCATCAGCTTGTGACAGGCAGGACAGTCAAAGAAAATGACAGAAGCACAGTTGAGCGAATGTCATACTACCCACTGCCACCGTAACTAAATCCAACTTTGAAAAACAATACATAGATACCATCTCCTAAATTGTGTGTACATTTTTTTGGCACCCCCATTATTTGCAGCTACTGAAATAAAAAATGCTGGCCAGTGGCTGGGCTTGGTGGCTCACGACTATAATCCCAGCACTTTGGGAGACAGAGGCAAGAGGACTGCCTGAGTCCTGGGGTTCAAGACCAGCCTGGGCAACATAGCAAGACCTCATCGCTACAAAAAATACAAAAATTAGTGAGGCTTAGTAGCATGTGGCTGTAGTTCCAGCTATTTGGAAGACTGAGGCAGGAAGATCATCTGAGCCCAGCAGGTCGGGGCTGCTGTGGCCATGAACATGCCACTGCACTCCAGCCTGGGCGACAGAGTGAGACTCCAACTCAAAAAAAAAAAAGAGTTCAAGGTTGCAGCAAGCTATGACTGCACCACTATGCTGCAGCCTGGGTGACAGAGTTTGACCCTGTATCTAAAAACAAATAAAGTAAAAAATGTTCACTCGTATTCTCCCTGCCCTGCCCCCCAACCTTCTCACGTATCCCTCACCGTGGGTGCCGCTTCCACACTTTGAGAACCGCTGGAGTAAAGCGGTGCCTTGTGCGCATGGTGCCCCCATACCTACCGTCAAGTCCAAACACATCCAAGAGCTCCGACCACACTTTCCACAATGTCTCCACGATGATGTCCACTCCCAGCACGAACCTCTCGGTCAGCCTGGTCAAGAACTGCGGAGACAAGAGAACGGTCACTACCCAAGCGCCCACTGGGTTGTCCATCGTCCTCAAGCTGTGCCCATGAGCCCCGAGCTTACGCCCAAGCAGGAAACCATCGCAGGCAGTGACGCACACCACGGGAGTTGCCTACTAGCCCAGGGGACTAACTGGAGCTCAGGATTCCCTGACGGCGGTGCGCCAACCTTGGTCAGGGTCTCTGCTTCCCTCTGCCTGGTTTCTCACCTTATGTTTCTGTTTTTGTAGGGGTCTTGCTATGCTGCCCAGGCTGGTCTCTAACTCCTGGGCTCAAGCAATCCTCCCGCCTCAGCCTTTCAAAGTGCCAGGATAACCAGGTGCCCGGTCTCGTTCTTACTTTTAAACAATGGAATTTTTCTTTTGACTAGACTGCCCCCTCTTCGGTGGGGGTATGAGGAGTGGTTTGGAGGGGAGTCTACGAATATTGACGGGAATTAGAACTGCAACCATGAAGAAAGGTCTTCCAGAAATACAACCTCTCAGTACACATCCCAGTCAGTGATTCTCAGAGTATGGTCTCCGGGTCATCAGCATCCCGGAAGCCTGTCAGAAACGCAGGTTCCCGCTAGGTGCGGAGGCTCACCTGTCATCCCAGCACTTTGGGAGGCTGAGGCGAGAGGACTGCCTGAGCTCAGGAGTTTAAGACCAGCCTGAGCAACATGACAAGACCTCGTCTCTACAATAAACAAATAAGTAAAAAATTAGCCGGGTATGGTGGCATGCACCTGTGGTTCCAGCTGCTTGGAAGGCTGAGGTGGAAAGATCACCTGAGCCCAGCAGGTCAAGGCTGAGGTGGCTATGAGCATGCCACTGCACTCCAGCCTGGGAGAAAGAGTGTGACTCTGACTCAGAAAAAAAAAAAGAAATGCAGGTTCTTGGGCCCCACCACAGATCCACCACATCAGACTCTCTGGGCAGGGCTCAGTGATCTGTGATTCAGATCCTCCTGGTGACACTGAGGCACATTTGATGGTGAGGACCATGATCAAGAGAGACACTTGCATACCTTCTTCTGAATACGACTATATACAGCACATGCAAAGAAAACTGACAGTAAAAGAGACACTTAAGACATCAGTCTAGCCAGGCTCGGTAGCTCAGCCCGAAATCCCGCACCTTTGGGAGGCTGAGGTGAGTGGATTGCCTGAGCCCGCGGGTTCGAGGCCCGCCTGGGCAACTTGGTGAGACCTCATCTCTACAATAAATTAAAAAAAAAAAATTAGCCGGGCGTGGTAGTGCATGCCTGTAGTTCCAACTACTTGGAAGGGTGAGGCAGAAGGATCTCCAGAGCCCAGCAGGTCAAGGTTGCGGTTGCCGGAAGCAGTCACTGCACTCCAGTCTGGGCAACAGAGTGAGACTCCAACTCAAAAAAAAAAAAAGACACCAGTCTACTCCCAGTGAGGGGGAGAGCAATTCTGCAGCAATGAAAACAAATAAAGCACATCTACATCCAGCATCACAGAGAAATACCAAATAACAATAGTGGGCTTAAAAAAATAGATTCCAAGCCGGGCTCGATGGCTCAGCCTGTAATCCCAGCACTTTGGGAGGCTGCGGTGAGTGGACTGCCTGAGCCCACGGGTTCGAGACCCACCTGGGCAACTTGGTGAGACCTCATCTCTGCAATAAAATTAAAAATTAGCAGGGCGTGGTAGCGCGCACCTGTAGTTCCAGCTACTTGGAAGGCTGAAGCGGAGGGATCGCCAGCGCCTAGCAGGTCGAGGCTGCAGTGGCCGGGAGCGGCCACTGCACTCCAGTCTGGGTAACAGAGTGAGACTCCAACTCAAAAAAAATAATAATAATAGATTCCAGGCTGGGCATAGTGATGGCACCTATAGTCCCAGCACTTTAGCAGGCCAAGGAGGGAGGATCACTTGAACCCAGGAGTTGGAGACCAGCCTGGACAACATAACAAGACCTCGTCTCTACCAAAAAAAAAAAATCAAAAAAATTAGCTGAGCATGGTGGCACATGACTACAGTCCTAGCTACTTGGGAGGCTAAGGCGGGAGGATCGCCTGAGCCCAGGAGTTGAGGCTGTGGTGAGCCGTAATCATGCTACCAGCCTAGGTGACAGAGTGAGATTCTGACTCAAAAAAAATGAAAAATAGATTACAGAATGCATTCATTATATACTTCTTAAATGAAGCTCAAAAATTGGCAACACGAATTAATCTACTGCCCAGGCATCTATCCCAGGGTGGTACTCAGGAGAGAGGAGCAGGACACAGCCAGGACACACATGGTGGGGAGCACCAGGGGTCGCAGAAACCCCGAGAATGCGTCTTCACCCAGGGAGGGCGCGTTAGTGCTGGTTTAGTTATAATTCCTTTTTTTTAAGAGCTTAATTGACATGTAATTTTTATACCATAAAGGCCACATCTTTAAGGTGTACAATTCAGTGGTTTTAGAATATTCCCAAGATACGTAACCAACATCAACCTAATTTTGGAATAGTTTCATTCCCCCAAAAGAAAGCTTGCACCAAGCCTGGACGCAATGGCTCATGCCTATAATCCCAGTAATTTGGGAGACCGAGGCAGGAGGGTCGCTTGAAGCCAGAAGTTTAAGACCCACCTGGGCAATGTAGCAAGAGCCCATCTCTACAAAAAAATATAAAAATTAGCCAGGTATGATCCCTCTAGTCCTAGCTACTCAGAAGGCTGAGGTGGGAGGCTCAATCAAGCCCAGGAATTCAGCCAGGCTCAGTGGTTCAGCCTGTAATCCCAGTGCTTTGGGAGGCCGAGGTGAGTGGATTGCCTGAGCCTGCGGGTTCGGGACCCACCTGGGC